TTTCCTACAGCAAATCGCAAGTGGCAACAGTCAGGCGATGATGTCAAAAGAACCGGATTCCCATGAACCAGAAGGATCTGATCCAAATCCCGGTACGTAACTGCACTCTACTTGTTAAAATTTTATATTTAATAATGATTTCTTCATCTGGATACAGAAGAAAGTAAGATGAATATAGAGAGTGAGGCACAAATGGAAGCCTCTGGCCAAGAAATACGGAATGAAGACAATAACGAAATAATAGTTCTGGCATCCTCGGCCGCAGGTGAGAAAGAACCAAGACTTAAAACTGTTCACCCATCGCCTAATATCTCATGAACCTCGAAACATTTTTATATGTCAAAAAGCTAATTTGGAAGATGGATTATCATCTAAACTAGAAACTGATGAGCCCATAGAACCTATGGACTGGCTTCATAGAAATGATAAGTATGTTCCAGAGCATAGAGGCCCACGTACGGTGCTTACTGATCCACTGCACACTTCGGGTGAGTCAAGTTAGCACAACCACCTCATGCAATTTTTTTAAAGAAATGCATTTACATGTAAGCTATGGTACTTATCTCACAAATATTTGCAGACGTACACATACCAGTGTGGGGCAATATTGATGTAGATGTTCAACACAATGATGATGCCGAAATAAAAGGGCATGAAGAAAGAGATGTAGCCAAGAAGCGAAAACGTGCTCATGAGGAAGATAACGTACATAACTATATCTTATACTTCTCAAATATTCCTTTCATAAATTGCCCGTGTGGGTCATTGCATATAAAATGTCTAGAGATTGCATCTCAAACTAATATTACATATTGCATATGCAGATCATTATGGTAGATGCAACAAAGGAACATGTCAAATATGATGATGTACAGACTCCACGGCAAGAAAAGGACTTACATCTGATGCGTGCTGATGCTGATGTGATAGTGTTACCGGAGTACAATAAACCAAATAAAATAAACAATGCACAAATCATGCCTCAAGGTGAGACCTCAACAATTGGGACTTAATAGTATATATTTTGTGAATTAATTTTTTATTACTGATATATATATATTATATAAATAAAACCTCTATAGATTATGTGTCTACGAAAGAAGACAAGGGGGTAATTGAATACATGCAAAGAAAAAGTGAAAAACATGTACTCGTCAGAATCGATGATTGTTGGGGAGAGCGACAAGACATGGATTGTCTTTTTGATGGGAGTGAGCATGTCAATGGCTCTGCAAGTATGGTCAACACGTCTTTTGCATTAACTAATATCCATGACAAATATATGTCCACAATTTAATGACAAATTAAAAACTTGCAGGTCATAAGTCTGTATATCCAGTTAATGCGTCACGAAGAACAAGGCCATCATAGAGAAGGTGGAAATGTATATTTAGAAAATTCATGGTTTTCTCAAATGCTACGAGGTAACGGAGAGCAAGATCCTGAAAAATTGACGTATAATAAATATGACGTGGCTAAATCAAGGGTGAACACTTATTTAAAAGCTGATATGGTAAGCTTTACTATGACATTTGCCATATGATAAATTTTATCCCTTCGAAATATGAAGAAATAATATACATAAATCTCTATGTCCGCAGGTCTTCCTTCCTATCAATATTACAAAGTGTCACTGGTACCTGGCAGTTGTGTGTGCTTCAAAAGGTGAGATACAAGTATTCGATTCTTTTGGATAAAAGATGACAAACTGGCAAGATCTCTGATATACGGTACAACATAATATATATGATGTACGCATACTTCTTTAAAATTCTTCAAATAAGAAGTTCATAATTAACTTTGGTGTCTCGCTCTTAATAGTTAATAGGAATGGAACGACTAATAAAATATGTAGCAGAGAAGATTCAACTCGACACAAGTAAATGGGTACACGGTATCGAAGTGTCATCCTAGAAACCTAGACATATGATCACTGAACAAATGCAAAAAGATGTGTAAGTTAACTTTCCATCTTGTGTATAGGCCATTCTCTCATGACAAACAATATCTATATACCTCACTTTTTTGTATTATGCACAGATGTAGTTGTGGATTATGGATGATCAATTATATGGAGTATTGGACTGGAACTAATTTATCTAACCATGTCACGCAGGTAATTCCTTACGAATTAATTTTTAGCTGTAATAAGTTTTTCTGTATGTATTGATTAATATATCATGACTTCATTATGTTTTCAGGAAGATATAAGTAACTTCAGGTTTAAGCTACCGCCATCTGTACAACTCCCGTTAAATGAAGCAAGAGGATTACGGATAACGAGCAATGAGAATCGGACCCAGTTCATCTGGTTGATGATGTTGTAGAGCTAGATGAAATGGATATTTTAATGTCGGGTAGCGCCAAGTTGATAAGTACAATAAAGTGGACAAGCAAGAAAGAACTATTGTCATGGATTTGCTCAACCATTCGGTGCACCGCGGATGATGGAACTTTAGAGTAAGTCTTTCTTCTTTCTGAATAGTTTAGAACAGAATTGCTTGTGCATTAAGTAATAAGTTTCTTGTTCTTCTTTTTTTCAGCAAAGAGTGGGTATGAAGTACACGACCATATCCAATTACTTTAAGTCTTAGGAAAAATATAAATATTTTACGTGAAGATACAGAGATGGAACATGAAAGCTTTAATATGGCTATTCGGATGGTTGCATGCAACAAAGAAATGATGCTGCATAAACAAAAATACCACTTCATGGATCTTAAATTTGCTGTAAGTTTTGAAATTCTATAAATCATCAAAAACTTGTAATATATGTGATTAAAAATTATATACTGACAATTACAATCATCATCAGGAAATAACTGGGTTTTAGATTTGTATATTACCAAGTTTACAAGTATTCTATTTGTATATAAACAGCATTGTTTTAGATTTGTATTTTTGAAAAGGCTTTAATTTTTAACTGATAAATATTTAACAAAATATTTTATATCAAATAATTTGCAACGGTTGTATTTGAACTGTCACCCTTTCAATGTCTATATTGCAATCTCTGTCTCCAACGGCTATATTTTTCACCTCTCTATGTATGTGTGCTCTTCACTTGATTCATGCATTATTTTTTTCATTGTGTTGTTCCTTTTCCACCAGAAATAAAGTTATCTAACTCGATTGCATTCATCTTCCTCGTCTGATTATTATTATTATTATTATTATTATTATTATTATTATTATTATTATTATTATTATTATTATTATTATTATTATTATTATTATTATTATTATTATTATTATTATTATTATTATTATTATTATTATTATTATATAGACCTAAACCTAACTATATTACGCTAAGAACACACTCAATAGCAATCTCTCCACGCTTCACAAGCGGGTGGATTTGTACCTAGGTGTCATTACATTCATTTGGACTGAGAAAGCGGTCATTGAATGTTTTATGAAAAATCGATCTATATCCATATTTTTCTTTTTTTTATTTGTCGCTCAGGCGCCTTAGCATGGATTGTTCTCTATTTCTTCCTATACTTTGCGGAAAAAGAGATATATGTCATAAGTGGGCAGCTTGGGTTACCATGTTTGCAAAAAAGATTAATGCAGCATTAATGATTAGTCATGGAGGACAAATCATGATGATTAGTCATGAAGGTTTGACAAGGTTTTGTTGAAGTGTTTGGATAAGAATATCTTAGATCTCCAAATGAGAATGACACTGATAGATTACTTGCAATCGGGAAGTGGAGAGGTTTTCCCGCATGCTTAGTACTTTGGATTACATGAATTGGAATTGGAGGAACCATCCTTTAGCATGGCATGGTCAATATACTGGGCATGTGCATGAGCCAAAAGTAATCATTGAAGCTGTTGTTGCTTAAGATATTTGGATTTGACATGTTTTCTTTGGTTTACCAGTCAGGCAATGATACCAATGTTCTTCATTGTTCTTGTCTGTTTGCAAAGCTAGCTGAAGGAGATGTTCGAAAAGTCAATTTTACCGTTAAAGGTAATAGTTATACAATGAGGTATTACCTTTTAGATGGCATATATCCTCAATGGGTGGAGTTCTTCAATCTCATTTTGCCATTGTTCGTGGACTAGTCCCTCTCTCGGATAAAAGACACCAAGAGAAATAATGTCAGTTCATGACGATGTCATCATACACACCATATGATTGTTGAAGATGAGCAAAGTCAAGATAAAGATGAATAGTTCGGTGTCAACCAGCTTGTGAGACATACTCTAGGTACAGTTCGTAATCCTACATAGGATTTTCGTGAATTCATACTATCACAAATATCACAAACAGGCAACTCGATCACACACAACCTTTTGAGTTTCACACCAATGTTTCACCAGATTTAGTTGTTACATTTACGTCCTCGGTGTTTCCTTTTTAATTTAGACTGAAAACAAGTATACAGTATTCGTAATTATGTGCTATGAAGGCATGCTTGTATGGAAAATAATTGCCCCAGCAAAAAGGACTAGGAATTCTATTCGGAAAGTCTGATTCACATTCCATGCCACCTCTGTCGTGCACACTCGCCTCTGTCAACAACGCACCTCTAACCAAAGTGCCTCTGCTTTGGCAACCACCTGCCAACCTAGCTAGTCTCGCACGCTAATGTACATGCGCAATGGGGGCCGGGAGAGAAGTCTCCTCTGCCACTAAGACACGAATACCAGAAACGTAAAACGGAAATCAGACAGGATGATATTTGCGTCATGGATTCATGTTTCTACTCCAGAAAAGGTCAATGGCCGATCGATGGAGCGACGAATCGGAGTGACGATGACTGGTTGAAAAATGAATGGTACAGACCATCGATAGACAGATTCATCCACTGATGATACATGCGTCTGTGCTTAGTTTACATCGATCTCGTGCAACTACTACACGCCGGCCTACGACTGAAACAAGTAGAGTACAAGAGACCTCGCTCGCCGGAGACGGACGGACGGACGGGTGGATCGATCTGACGACACGCATGCAATGGCGCTGCTCAGCTCGCTCGACCAGCTTAGTTGCCGGGGACGAAGTTGGTGGCGTACGCCCAGGCGTTGTTGGCGACGGGGTCGGCGACGTGGTCGAAGAGGTTCTCGATGGGGCCCTTGCCGGTGACGATGGCCTGCACGAAGAACCCAAACATGGAGAACATGGCGAGGCGGCCGTTCTTGAGCTCCTTCACCTTGAGCTCCGCCGCGGTGTCCGGGTCATCAGCGAGCCCCAGCGGGTCGAACGCGCCGCCCGGGTACACCTTGTCGAGCCCCTCGCCGAGCGGGCCCCCGCCGACGCGGTAGCCCTCGACGAAGCCCATGAGCACCACCTGGACTGCCCAGATGGCCAGGATGCTCTGCGCGTGCACCAGGTTGGGGTTGCCCAGGTAGTCGAGGCCGCCCTCCGAGAAGATCTGCGCCCCCGCCTTGAACCACACGGCCTCGCCGAACTTGACCCCGTTCTTGGCCAGGATCTCCGGGAACACGCACCCCAGCGCGCCCAGCATCGCCCACCGCGAGTGGATCACCTCCAGCTCACGGTTCCGCGCGAACGTCTCCGGGTCCGCGGAGAGACCCGCCGTGTCCCACCCGTAGTCGCCGGGGAACTCGCCGGTTAGGTATGACGGCGTCTGCTCCGAGAACGGGCCGAGGTACTTGGGACGGTCAGGGCCGTACCTGCATAGCAGGTCATGCATGTCAGTTACTCTCAGCGAGCTGATTTGACACAAGGGAAGAGTGCAGAGCAGAGAGCACGTACCAGATGCTCTGGGGAGCGCTCTTGACGGTGCGGCGCATGGTGATGCGGCCGCCAGCATCGGCGCCGGTGGCGGGGCGGGAGACCAGGGCCTGCCCGAGGAAGCTGGTGGTCTGGTGAAGCGCCGACGCGGCCATCGTCGTTCTGTGTGTGTGTCCGTCCGGTGGTGAGAATGTTCGGCTAGCTGAGTGGTGGGAATGGCCGGTGTGGGGAGGAGATCTTTATACGACGGGTCGACGGCTCAACGGTGCGCGGCGCGACTGGTGGACGCGCGGCGCGCCACGTCCGCACCCAGGCCATTGGCTGCCGCCGCGCCTCTCTGGATATCGCGCGTCGGGGCGCCCAATGGCCGGCTGCCAGGTGGAGGCAAAGATCGCCCCGCCCAAATCCAACGCTATCTAGAGTCTGGACCAAACAGCTCAGGCATCACGGTCGTCGTTGTACTAGCCGTTGTGAAAATGCAGTGACGATGAAGTTCTGAAATATCTGTCGTCCTTTGGCACACACGTAATTATCTTTTCGAGAATTGCACGAAAGCAGAAAAAGATAAAAAAGGGACACTTCATTCACCTTGCACTTGCATCTAGCGGTGAAAACTGAAAAATGAAACTGATCGACTCAGAATGGAGTGGACTTGGAATCTGATATTCCGTGTGCGTCCATGGAACGGGAGGTTGCTTTGTATCTCCTGCCCATACCATAGCCAGTCTCCAACTCTACTTAGGGCAGCTCCAGTCCTAAAACTTTAAACGAGTCTGACTACTGGCAAGGTTAAAATTATATGTAAGCATCAAGGGACCCCCGCCTAGAAGCTCTGATTCGATTTTCAGTAAAATACATTGTGCATTTCTATGTTTTTTTTCTTCATATTTTCATTTGGGTTCATGAACTCTCAAAGCAATCAATCATATGAGTTCTTTGACTTTTTAAGTGGTTGTTCATTCTAAGTTTACTCTAGGTCAAATCATGGACTTGAATTCACATTTCAAATGAATCACTTAGAAATTGAAGAAGCTAGTTGATCACTTTGAGAGTTGACTTAGATAAGAATGTGTGAAAAAATATTAAGGACCCATTTTGTATTTCACTCTTCGATTTTCTACTGCCCACGGTTCGAGCACTCACCTCCTTCGTTTTGATGCCTGCAAGTAAGAACATCCAGCTCAGACCATGGTTAGGTTCTCAAACATACTAGAGCCGCTCTAAGCTGAAGTGGAGTTTCATCGTCTCCCCTTACACTAACCCTAATGAGGAACTCCAATAGTGATATCAATATATGGGTATCAAAATCTCGTATTTTGGGTTTTCTAAGATTAAACCAGATTCTAGGATTTTTAATTGCATTATTTTTCCAATTTTTTCAGAAATACATTTTTATGTTTTCTTGATATTTTTAAAAATATTTCTAGTCAGATTTACCTCATGAGCTTTCAGCTTAGTCCAATTTGGCCACCTCTAACGTGGCGATGCATTAGCAAAATCACCATCAAAACCACTCAATGTGAAAAAATAAACGGTTTTAAAAGTTGAGGGATGTCAAAAAACTAGTTTGATAGTTTAGGAAGAAAAATTAGACGACCGCGATAACTGAGGGAGGTTAATAGTATTTTTTTCCTAATAAACTTTGCGTTCATACTTGAAATATTTAGGCCTGGCGTAAATATATTTGATATATGTGTGTGTTATAGTAATTAATGAAGATACATGTGCTGCTAAGACAAATATAAATTACCCACGGGCACATGGGTAAGGGTAGTATATGTTTCTATACCCGTACCCACTTACACGATGGGTAGAGATTTTTACTCATTAACTAATGGCGTACCCGCGCGTGAATAAATCTTTTTCCATACCCATCTCTTTCGCGGGTAAACCTATCAAATTTCAGGTACCCATTGTAATCCCTAGCACGGGGCCATATTAGAAGAGCATGATGCACACCAAAGATCTATTAACACCCGTGGCAGGTTAGTAGTAGGTGCTTAAGCAACTCAATAGGAGATCATTTATTGATCCAACATTATTTTCAACTTCAAAATACCCCCTTCATAGGAGAATCAATGCAGGCCGCTGCTCTTCTGTTTGGGCTCGGCCCGCTTCGCTCCATGGGCTCATTTTAGCAGCGGAGCCCTTTTCAGGCCTATCCAGTATCGACGCCCTTCTTCTAAAACCCTAACTCCTCTCTCCTTGACGCCGCCAAGCCACTGCGGCCGAAGTCGCCCCTCCCGAGCCCCGACCAACTCTCCTCTCCTCTCCTCTCCTCTCCACCTCAGGGCCGCCGGCTCCTTCCTTACTCCGCGTCTCCGCCTCGACAAGCGTCGGCGAGATGGTGAAGAGAAGCAAGAAGAGCAAGAGCAAGCGCGTCACGCTGAAGCAGAAGCACAAGGTGCTGCGCAAGGTGAAAGAGCACCACCGCAAGAAGCGCAAGGAGGCCAAGAAGGAAGGCAAGGCTGGCCAGCGGAAGAAGGTCGAGAAGGACCCCGGGATCCCCAACGAGTGGCCCTTCAAGGAGCAGGAGCTCAAGGCGCTCGAGGCCCGGCGCGCGAAGGCGCTCCAGGAGCTCGAGCTCAAGAAGGAGGCGCGCAAGGAGAGGGTATGTCATGTCTGCCCTACTCCAACCTGACCTTCCCGCCTGCTGCTATAGTTTTTCAGCCTTACAGCCGAATCCACCTTCATTCCGTTAAATTGCAAGTCTAATCCACCTTCCTGTCCCTTCAGTTTCCTTGTGAAACTAGAAAACCCGTGGCGCGGCGTTGCTATCTTTTTATTCTCTTCCTTCTCACGATCCTTTGGTGTCTTGAAGAGCATTACTTTTCTGCTGACTTTGGTTTAGATAGTATAAAACTCTATGCAAGCTAATATCATGCAACATTAGGGTTATACTGACACCACACAAACTCCATTCTACATGACTGCAACAGACAAGAAATTTTTGGCATGCAATCTACATGGAAGAAACATTGTGAGCAGTTATGTTCATCATGATTGAAATGGAAAGCTTTGCTTCACCAGATAGGATAACATTATTAACGTTAGTAGTATTATTTATGTTACGATGATGTCATTGCATAACAAAAGTAAAATTATGTTCACTGATGTTGTCGAATGACGATCTCAGATCTCGTCACAAGAGTAAAATCGGAGTACAAAACATATAATTGAATCTTGATTGCCAACCAAATGCTAGATGAACTGAAATTTGAGCACGAAAATCATAGCACAATCTAAAATAACTGCCACGGGACTACAATTTCACCCTAATTCTCTGGAAATAAGGATGTATGTGTACATTGCCTAGCGGGCGTCCAGAAAGGAGATAACATGGATGACACCATTGCCACTTTGTCACATTTATACAGGGGGCATGTGTCCTGCCCGTCCATACCCGCTTGTGCTGTGATAATGCTTCTGCCAAGCATGGGCGTGCACGCCCATTCCCCTTTAGCCACAGGTCAACCTGCTCATGCAAATCGCAAGTATCCTTGAGGACTTGAGGTGCTGAGAATGCAAATAACAAAGGACGAATCAAGAAAGAAAGTAGTTGATGGAGCAACTCACCCTGTGGATATGCTACCCGCCCGTGGTTTATCCTGCAGATTCGTGTTATAGAGATTAACTCTTTCTTAGATCGTTCCCTATATTGGTAGTGTACATAGTTACCATTTGGTTGATGGCTTGCTATCGTTGGTATCTGCCATGATAGCTTTTGTCCCAACCCTTATTGTCCCTTATTACAACCGAAGGCTTGTTAGAACCAATATTGCTGTATGTATAATTGTGTTCTCTTGCGAAATTCTGGTTATTGATCCAGACAAGCTGGATGATCGTCCTTTATTTGGGTCTTTACACTTTACATTTTAGGGCTCTGTCAGGATCATGAACTTTCACATAGACTTGACCGAGCAATGATTAAATATTGTTACCCTTTGTTAGGTTATGTAGATGAGGTATGTGTTCCTTAAGGTCTATTTATGTTCTTCGTTTAGTTTTATAGATACATCTATATCATTTTCGTTGTGGTGGTTAAACAATGAGACACTTACCTTTTTCAGGCTCGGAAGAGGAAGCTAGGATTGCTTGAGGATGAGGACATTGCTAATTTGGCATCTGCAGCTTCCGCGCAGGGCAGTGAGTTTGCAGCAAAGGATGCAGCAAAGGAGAATGCTCCTTTAGCAGTGGCAAAGAGCAATGGTAAGTTTCTCATCTCTCACTTATGGTTTAAATTGGCCTACCGCATGCAGTTACATTATTGACTAAAGATGTTTAATGTGTCCCAGATCATTCAGAGAGGTCTTTCTACAAGGAGCTTGTTAAAGTAATTGAAGCTTCCGATGTGATTCTTGAGGTTCTTGATGCAAGGGATCCACTAGGCACCCGTTGCATTGACATGGAAAAGATGGTTAGGAAGGCTGATCCAAGTAAACGGATTGTACTACTTCTCAACAAGATAGGTATTATGCAATGTTTGTTATGTTTAAAGTTTGCTCTTATGGTGGTTATGCCATCCTACATCTCAACTTATGATTCTTGAATTCTAGATCTTGTTCCCAAGGAGGCGGTGGAGAAGTGGCTTACATATCTAAGAGAAGAACTGCCAACAGTTGCATTTAAGTGCAATACCCAAGAGCAGAGGACCAAGCTGGGATGGAAATCTTCAAAACTTGATAAAACAAGTAACATCCCACAAAGTAGTGATTGTCTTGGTGCTGATAATCTAATCAGATTGCTCAAGAATTATTCCAGAAGCCATGAGGTAAATGATCCTACCGTTTTCAGATGATGTTTATGCATATATAGTTTTGGTCATCTCTCATCTGTCTCACAAGTTGATTATTGTATGAACATTCTAAGTTAGAATGTTTTATCCTTGTTCTACAACATCATGCATTCTTCATTACTTGACTATATTATAATAATTGAACCTTCAGCTTCTTTTCCTTGCTTATGTGCATATTTCCTTTTATCGAATATGATTAATAGAATCCTTTTATCTTTGAAGGGAGAACAGCTTCCTACACTTTATATATGAACCTAATGACTTCATGCACATAGTTTTACTTTGTGTGCTGTGTCTTATCATGCCAGTTTTATAAGTAGGCCTGTTTTTTCTGTCTTCGGTTATTACCTTCTTATGCTT